TAATTTGTTAGTGGCATTTTTTCAAACTGCCTTGTTTCTGAGTATGTAAGCAGGAGTGGTTTCACACCACCTAACCTAGGAACTAGGAAGTCTGCACTACACGTATATTATTTTAATGAAACTTTATTGGTTACTAAACACTTCCCCACTTTAGTACACAAATTACTTACGAAATCCATGTTCTTTTTTATTTTTTAAATTATAATCTTATTTCATAAATATTCAATGCCACAATTTCTAAATAAATTTAGTATTTTAATGCCCTAGAATGAAACAGCTAATCGTCCAACCATTTTGTCGGGCGTTAGGCAGATTTTGCTTTAAACCTGGCGACGCTTAGATAGCCCTCAGGCTTGAATCTCAATATATTGATCATAAGATGTTTGAAGTTGATTTTGTCGTCTCTCCCAACACTTATATTGTGTATTTATGAACTTTAAGCTGTGGTAGTCACTAAATAATATAATATGTTCTTCGTAATAAATTATAAGATTTCCTTTTTCAGTAATAAAATATACTAGTAATATTTTAATACAAAAATTTGAACTTTCAGATTGTTAATTGGTGTAACCTATCTATTTTTAAACATTCACTGGTCATCTTGTAATGTACTCCTTTTTGCTTTTTCTGGTAATTCTATTCCATTTTATCAATGGCTGGATATGCAAAATAAAAAGCTCTTGTTGATTGACCAATGGTCATTGTGTTAAACTTTTATTATGTTTGCCTATACATGGGTCCGTTTGGATGGAGGGTTTTGAAGAGGTTTGAAGAGTAAGACTTTGGAGAACAAAGACTATATCTTGACAAATAGAATGTTTATAAGAACGGACAAGCGGTGATTAGAATGTGATGCAATCGTATACTCCGTATTAAGTAAATCTTTCTATTTTTGTAAAATCTCAGATATATATAAGAGACTAAGGCTTTCTTTGCTTAGAGTGTAAGATGATGCAAACACACTTCACTCATTTAATTTTGATTATTATTGGAGAAAGTGTGAAACAGAAGTTCCAAAACTTATTTCTGAAGGTCTTTCTGGTTACACATTTTCTGCCAATGAAAATTGTGTGCAATTAGGGATAGTGCTAAGCTTTATCACTGATATACCATTTTCCCGGGGTAGCTTTGACTCATAAATAGATTTAAAATGTTTAATAGCCAATTGTGAATAACACTAAAATCAGAGACAAAAACTATGATATTGATGATTCGGTAGCTCTTATTAGGTCATAAAATGAGTATGGATAGGCTTAATTTGGTTGGATTAAATTCCAAGGTTAGATTTGACTTAATTTGAACCTAGATTTAAAACGTCTGCTAGTAAAAAGTTTGTTAAATTGGGTGAACTAACCTTGTATGATGTATGCAACCTGCCTGCCTCCAGGGCTCCAGGTGTCTAGCTCAATGGGAGGCAGGGGAGACTTGGGGTTAGTTTGGAATTTGGATGGAGGGGTTTGTAGTTTTCTGGAGGGATCACAACTTAATATCTCAATTGCTCTCGATTTGTTATCTTAACATTCTATTTATCAAGATAGATTCTAAGCTCTTCAAAGCCTTCCAGTCCGAAACCCTCCACCAAACTGACCCCTCGGGTGGGAGTTTGGAGGTGGGTTGTTAGTCTACAATTATAGCTTGATATATATTTGATTTTAGAAAAGGTGAAAGATTAATGTAATATGTTATTGAATAATGTTTCAATAACCTTTTATTCTTTTTAGAAGCATTATGTTTATCATGATATAGAATGAGCCTCCTCCAAAACCCTACATAAAAATAAATCCGTAGGTCATCAAGGCCTGCTAGCATTCTAGCATCATGATCTTATACTACTAACTCTGCCTCTCTATGTGCTTACCTTTTGCAGGATCCTACAGAGAAGAGGATTATTGTGTGTGACGAAAAGCTGAAGAAAATATTTGGAGGAAGGGATCGGGTTGGGTTCCTTGATATTGCAGGGTTGATTAGTCCTCACATTCTCTAATTATTATTATTATTACAACCAGATGAATGGTGTGCATGCTTGCTGCCTATGAAAAGAATGTCAATTTTGTAAAGGAAAGTTTGATGGCTTATGCAGACATGTGTTCCTTAGGAATCCTGTTCTGCGACCTTCATGGGTTCCTTTATTTTGACTAGTGCCACTATTTAACAAGTTAATTGTGTCTTGCTTTAGGTGATGGTTTCAATAATAATTAGGAAATAATTATTGCTGTTCTTAGGATGTTTCTTTTTTGACTGTTTTCAGTCTGAGACTCTGAGACCATAGTTAAACAGACCAGACCAGACTTAAATAGATCAGACCAGATTTGGACAATTATAAAGTACACAGAGACTAGACATTTATAAGATCAGTTCAGACCAGACTAGACTTAAACAGATTAGACTAGACCAGATCAGCAAATTTCAATCCAAAAGAAAACATCCTTATTATTAGGCCTGGACTCGGGCCGGTTCGGGCCCGGTTCGGGCCTGGGCCCGGCCGGGCCTCGGGCCAGGAAATGGGAGGCCCGGGCCCGAACCGCCGGTGGCCGGTTCCGGTCCCGGTTCCGGGCCAAACCGGGCCGGGCCGGGCCGGGCCGAACCGGCCCACTTATTTTTTTTTTTTTTGTTCTCCTATTTAATCCCCTACCCCTCCCCTCAACCCCAAATCACCCCAAACCACCTAAAATGGCCCAAAATACCTATTCCAACCCAAAACTTTAAAAAAATTTCAAAAAAAAAAAAAAAATTAAATCCGGCCCGGACCGGGCCCGAACCGGCCGGGCCGGTTCACCATTTGGAAGGCCCGGGCCCGGAACCGGGAACCACCGGGCCGGTTCGACCCGAACCGCCGGTGGACCGGGCCACCGGGCCGGGCCGGTTGCTACAGTGGCCGGGCCGGTTCCGGGTCGGGCCGCCCGGCCCGAGTCCAGGCCTACTTATTATTAGTATTAGTATTATCGCTAATTTGCTATAATTATTTTTATCTAGGGGTGGACTGAACCGGTCCGGTTCGGGCCTCGGGTCTGGGCCCGGCTGGGCCTCGGTTCAGAATATTGAGGCCCGAGCCCGAACCAGGGGTGGCCGGTTCCGGGCCAGACCGGGCCGGGCCACCCGCCCTATTTTTTTTTTTGGCTTCTTTATTTAATCCCCTACCCCTCTTTCTCAATCCCAAATCACCCCAAATCACCTCAAATGTACCAAAATACCTAATCTAACCCAAAACATAAAAAATTTTCAAAAAAAAATAAAAAAAAAAATTATTTCCGGGCCGGGCCGGTTGCTACAGTGGCCGGGCCGGGCCGGGCCGGTTCCGGGTCGGGCCGCCCGGCCCGAGTCCAGGCCTATTTTTATCATTATCATTATAAGTTATAACAACTTTTGGGTAATACTATTGGAATTACTATTTGTGCATCGATGGGAAAGCATATAATTAGCTCATATATGATTGTTTATGCAATCGGTGGCATATCCCATTTCCTTGGGTCGAAAATTTTCATCTGGTTATATTTCGGTTGTAAAGAGAGCCGGAATGCCGGATGTGCATTATTATTTGAAGGGAAAAGGTGCAAATAGGCCCATGTACTAACAAAAAAAGGTCAAATAAGCCCTTATTTAGGAGTCTCTGTCCGGCCGTCGCCATTTGAAGTGGTTCCCGGTGGAATTTTTTGATGAAATTTTTGAACATCTTATTCATCCAGTCTAACTTAGAGAAAACTAGACTTGATGAATAAGATGCTCAAAAAATTTCATCAAAAAAATCCACCGGGAACCACCCCAAATGACGACGGCCGGACAGAACTTTCTAAATAAGGGCTTATTTGACCTTTTTTGGTTAGTAAATGGGTCTATTTGCACCTTTTCCCTTATTTGAAATAAAAGATCATGAGAATTTTGAGTTTGCACTCCACTTTTTGGGTCATATTGGACTTTGCACCCCATTTTCAAAAATTTTAGACTTTGCACCCTGTCTACAACATTTTGTGAAGAAAAATTTCTGATTGGGGTGCAAAGGCAAAGACATTTTAAGGAAAATAGGGTGCAAAGTCTAAGAGTTTTGAAAATGAGGTGCAAAGTCCAACATTACCGAAAAAAACAGGGTATAAAGCCAAAATATCCCATTCATGACTCATGAATATCCTCATTCAGTCATTCGTATCTCTTCACCATTTTCATCTGGTTATATTTCGGTTGTAAAGAGAGCCGGTTATATTTTTTTCATTTATTATAATAAATTTTAAATATGGGGCCATATTTTTTTTGTTATGAAGTCAAAGATTCATTATTTTTTGGCTTGAGAGTATGATAGGATAAAGCAAAATATCTCACCAAACTGTCTGTACTTCTTTGTTAAGAACCAACAGTCAGTCCATGTAATTTTTGGACACGATTTTCATTATGGATCACCCGGAAACAGTCTTTCTATGCTTTAGTACAGGGGTAACACTGCGTACATCCAACCCAAGGTTGTGTGCATCTGACCCCCTTACCCCACCGCAGGTGGGAGCCTTTGCTGCATTGGAGTAATGATGATGATGAATGATGAATGTTCAATTTGATGTAATACTACCTCCATCGCGAAATAATTGTCTTGTTTTTCCTTTGGAATGTGTCACAATAATGATCTTGTTTCTTCTTTTGGCAACAATTTGTGGTTCTATCCCAATTCAACTTTTCCTACTCAAATCTCAACCACAATTTTTATCCTTTCAACCATTTTCTTAAATTTTTTCTAAAGCAAACCGGTGTAAAGACAATTATTTTAGAGTCTCGCTTCGTTACACATACAATTTGGCCAGTTACACAGACAATTTGACCTGTGTTTTATGAAGAAAATCGATTTTTACATAGATAAAAAGTAAGGAGTTGTCTGTATCACAAACATTTTAGATCGGATTATTTCATAAATTGTCTGTGGTACAAATAAATTTTTATTTTTATCTTTGTGAAAATCAATTTTTTCATAAAACGCCGATCAAATTATTTATACACACAATTTGATGTAAAAAACTTACGGGCACAAAAGGAATTTCTCATTATTTTAGGACGCAGAGTAATTTGATGCTTTCGTCCGGCTCAACTGCCCCTGTCCAACTACTCCAACCATAGCAAAAGACGGCGACGCGGAGTAATTGTATCCGCTTAACAAGCGTAATACGGAGTAAAACTATTCCGATAATCAGATTTGAGGACCGAGGATCGACTCATCGACATCGGCCGCGACGCTTGGACGCCCGCCTGCCGCCCTGTCTATCATCGGTGCTCAGTGCTTCGGCCTTTTGGTACGCGGCACGGTTGCTGCCTAGCTTCTCTTCTCCCGCTTCCAGATTCAGGCCCTGCAGTTCCGCACTTTTTCCTCTTCGGCCTTCTCGGGAGTTCTGGAGACTGGTACTCCTCTAAAGGCTCTAATCCTCTTTAACTCTTTATCGATTACTTATGAATTATGAAGTGATCATATAATAATATTCATAATTCATAATTGTTGATCGTTATCTGTTGATGTTCTGCCTTGAGCCTTTGTTGATGTTGAGTTTACTTGATTTCTTAATTAATTGATATGTTGAACGTTGTGTACTGATTTAGTTGCTTGGTTGATTTAGTTCATTTTTCTGTCATGTAATTAAATCTGGATTTTTATTAGTGTTATTTTGTTTGGTAAACATTTTGAGTTATAATTAAATTTATAATTTTATGTAATTTCAAGTTGCAAGAAAAATGGTTGAATTTGGATGTGAGAAAGAAGACGGAGGAGATGATAAAAGAAAGGCAATTTTATTATTGATGATATCTAATCTGGATGTTAGAAAAACTATAATTTCTAAACTTTATTATAAAGCTATCTATTGTTTAATTTTTTTCTAATGATGAGAACTTTTTTTAGTTAGATACTGTTACTCTTAAAGTAGAAAATTTTCTTCTTGATATTTTCTATAACTCCTTATATAAGGATTTGAAAGGACCTCGTGACCAGAAGCTGGTATAAACTAAGAAACGTAGTGCATATCCTTTAGTTTATAAAATTTTGATTTCGGCATTGATTTCTCCGGTTGCAACAACTAGTGTTGAAAGAATGTTTTCTGCAATGAATATCGTGAAGGATAAATTGAGAAACCAAATGAGTGATGACTGGCTCAAAGATTGTGTATGATCAATAATCTTCATGAAAATTGTGTATGACCAATGAATTTATGCAATGACTTATTGTGTATGATCAATAATCTTCATGAAAAATGACAATGATGTCATGATCAAACGATCAGTCTGGTGAATTTGTGATGCGTTTTTTGTATTTGACTTTGATGAAAACTCTTATTACTTTAAAACACTAATTATATATCTCTATATTTTACTTAGTTGTTGCAATTACATTTTTTTGTATGTATATTGAAATTTGCCCCCCACTGGATTTAAATGCTAGATCCGCCCAGTTGAGATCTGCTGTCTCTTCCACGCTTCTCAACAATCTTATTCCACAATTTCACTCTCCATACTGTAAGAAATCTCAAAGATGAGCTGGTGGTGGGCCGGAGCTATTGGTGCTGCCAAGGCAAGTCCTCCTTCCATCCTCTTCCCTCCAACACTAGATTGGTAATTGCTCATGAGTTTTTGTAGTGAATTTGATTATGATTTGTGCAGAAAAAGATTGATGAAGATGACGTACCACGGAAGCACCAGAGCGTGGCTCTCATTGTCGGCGTCACTGGTATAGTCGGCAACAGCCTCGCTGAAATTCTCCCACTTGCTGACACACCTGGTGGCCCTTGGAAGGTTTATGGTGTCGCCCGCCGCCAAAGACCAGCCTGGAACTCTGATCACCCAATCCAGTACGTCCAGTGTGATATCTCTGATCCGGATGATGCCAATTCCAAGCTTTCCGTTCTCACTGACATCACACATGTCTTCTACGTAACATGGACGAACAGATCCACCGAAGTGGAAAACTGCGATGCGAATGGGAGAATGTTCAGGAATGTTCTCAACGCAATCATCCCCAATTGCCCAGATTTGAACCACATTTGCTTGCAAACGGGTCGAAAGCACTACTTGGGTCCATTTGAGTTGTATGGTCAAGTAGCACATGACCCGCCCTATGATGAGGATTTGCCCCGATTGGAAGCACCCAATTTTTACTACACCCTTGAGGATATCCTGTTCGAAGAGGTGAAGAAGAAGGAAGGACTAACATGGTCTGTTCATCGCCCTGGCACGATCCATGGCTTCTCTCCTTACAGCATGATGAACATCGTGGGAACTCTCTGTGTCTATGCAGCCATATGTAAGCATGAGGGAGTTCCATTGAGATTTCCCGGTGTGAAAGCTGCCTGGGAAGAGTATTCTGATTGCTCTGACGCAGATTTAATTGCAGAGCAAGAGATATGGGCAGCTGTGGATCCATACGCGAAGAATGAAGCTTTCAATGTGAGCAATGGAGATGTGTTCAAATGGAAGCATTTCTGGAAGATTCTGGCTGAGCAGTTTGATGTTGAAGCTGGAGAATTTGAGGAGGGGAAGAGGTTGAGTTTGGTGGAGGCCATGAAGGATAAAGGGGCTGTTTGGGAGGAGATTGTGCGGGAAAATGAGTTGTTGCCTACGAAATTAGAAGAGGTTGGAGTGTGGTGGTTTGTGGATCTTATCTTGGGTGGAGGTTGCCCACTAGATACCATGAACAAGAGCAAAGAGCATGGGTTTTTGGGATTTAGGAATTCCAAGAAGGCCTTTGTTTCTTGGATTGATAAGGTGAAAGCTCTCAAGGTTGTTCCTTAGCTACTTGGTCACTATATGCGGGAGCTCTTGTGGTTTTGTGTTTATTTGTACCATATTTGTGTCAAAATATTGTTCTTTATGTAATGATGCTTTTTGAATAAATGGGCAATAATACTTTAGGCCTGGGACCGGTTCGGTTCCTAGGCGAAATATGTGGAACCGTTTGAAAATATGAAATTTTACTAACGGTTCGGTTCTTATAAATTATTTTGTAGAACCGATAAGGAACCGAACCGTTCTTAACGGTTCGGTTCTTGTCATTTAACGGTTCCTAGTATTTAAAAAAAATCTTACAAATCACGGTTAAATTTGTATCAAAAACACATTCAACGCTTGAAATTACAATACAAATATGTTGAACTTCGTTTCAAACCTCAAAAGTTGAGTTTAAAAGATGAATACATAACAAACTGCAAATTTTAGAAAACAAAAACAAAACAAGATACTCGGTAAAGAAGCCCAATAAAACCAGTTAAATGAAAAATAATTTCAAATGGTTAAATAACTAAACTAAAATAGTGAATGTATTATGAAAATAGATAAGTAAATATACATTAAAATATATATACTAATAAGAAATATATATAATTTTAATTATTATATATAACGGTTCTTTAACGGTTCCACGTACATATTTTTTACAGGAACCGAGAACCGAACCGTTAATAAAAAGTAGGAACCGAACCATTAACAAATAACTAATAAATTTTGGAACCGAACCGAACCGGGTCATAACGGTTCGGTCCGGTTCGGTTCTTCGGTTCTTGGTTCCAAAGTCCCAGCCCTATAATACTTGCATCTTCTTTGTTAATCAAGCTTATAATCTTTATTTTGCTTATCAAGAATAAATAACATTTAGCGTATTTATTTGGCTGAAATTGATTGTACCATAGCACTTCACTTGTTTTTTTGAAAGTTTCAGGATATTTGGCCATTTATCAAGAATACACATGTTTATTTATTTATTAGAGAGGTTTTAACTATTAAGTTGTCTTCAAGAGGAAAGTTGGGACGACGTGGAGGTCGAATCCATGGTAATGAGGTAGTTAGAGACTTAGAGGGATCCAAGGTATTCTGATTGATAATATTATATCTTTGAGTAAGGGTGTTTTACTTGGACTATTTTAATGCCAGTCTAGGCTAGATTTCATATTTATAAAATATACAGAGATCAGACATTTATACCAGACCAGTTCAGACAAAATAATCAAGTATCAGACTAGACAAGTAAATTTCAATCCAAATCAAAATTATCAAAGCATCCTAAAAACTTTAGTTTTATTAGCTTATTTCATGCCAATTGATTTGCGAATTAGATGATCACGTTTTTTAGCTAAAGCATTCGTTTATATATGTATGACCATTGTTGGTCTTGGTATGTTTTTCTCCCTTCCGTTATTGTGGATTCGTTGAACAGTAATTTGATTAAAAGAACTAATATCATTTCCCTAAAAACCAAAGAGCCCTTACCAGATATGCCCTAACTTGTCAATATGCAAGAGAGAGATGCATCGTTTCGTCTCGTGTAATTTGTAGCTCAAAATATTTTCACTGTGTTCTTATTTTGCTTGTAAGCTGTAACAATCTGTAAGAGGGAGGAGCATTGACACTCAATCTTCCAGAATCCAGAATGCAACTCATGGAATGGGGCTGGGCATCAAAGATGTGCATATAGGCTGATTAAGTTGCAGCTCTACGCCTCTACTTGGGTATGAGTGTATGACCTATTGACCACTAAAAAAGATTGCCCAAATATAGTGTGATGATTTACGGTTTAGGTTCCAAGGTTAAGGGGTGTTTGGATCTGATTCTTAAAACTGTTTCTGTTCCTTCATGGAGCAGAAACAGATGTTAGAGTATTTGGGTGAAAGTACAAAAATATTTCTAGTGCTCTCATTCAATCTTAGAATTGGTTTTTTAGAAGCTATGGAGGACTAATTAACTTTAAGAAAAATGGGTGAAAACTTATTTTGATTCTGCTTCTGCTTTAAGAAAGAATCAGAAGTAGAATTAGTTCCAAACACCCCTAAATGCTTAAACAATCAATAAAAATATGACACAATAAGTTTAGTAATTTTAATCAATGTTTTAAAAGGCGTTAAGCGCTAGTCGGGGACTAATGAGACATATAAATAATATTTTCATCAATGATATTGCATAAATACGATAAGTATTGTGTTTGTGTGTGTAAAAAATATATTTAAATATATAAATACACACAAATTTAAAAGTATAATATATCAACTCATTTAACTTCATTATGTAATATTACCTCCGTTCCAAAAGTGTTTAACTAAATCTCAAAATTTGGATCATGATTTTGATTAGTACTAGTATAATATTATGAAAATTATAGAAACTTATTGTTGCTTTGAGATCCTGTGAATAATCAAAAACTCACATAATTCCCAAAACCAAAGAACCATTGATCTCAATAAAAAAACACTCTAGAAGTCTAGAGTAGAAGAGCCGCACGAACTATTGATGGAAAAAACCCTACGCGACCTCAAAGCCGCTAGGAAGAGAGGATTTCATATAATTGATAATTATGTTAATAAAAAAGACTTTGATGAGGAGTATTATTTTAATTTTTAACAAAAAATTGTTATACTCCATATGTTTCAAGCAACAGTGCAACACTTGTATTGCCAAGAACACAGTAAACCCTGCATTGCAGTTCGTGCTCAATAAAGAGCCTAGTTGTCGGTCCATCTCGATTTTGACACAAAAGACTCTTTCTTTTATCTTCCTCTTCCTCTTTCTTGACACGCTTCTCCCTCTCTAAAACCCCAAATCAAAAGAACCCACCAGGGTTTTGGGAGGGTTTATCGTTCATGCAAAAAAATGAGCCTCAGAAACTGTTCGAAAACCCGGTTAACTCTGCACCATTTATGGAAGGAACAATCCGTTGTTGATTCCATCGGGGCCCCGACATTCCGAACCCACCACCGCCACCAACAAGCAAAAGTCTATTCTCGATTCCCTCAATCTGTTTACAGAAAAGCCAAAGAGACTGAACTGTCGATACGCACTATAACATCACTGCCGTTCTCCTCCTGGACTAGCTTGACAGCCGCCGTTAAGGTCGGGTTTGTCGGGAGGTACTTGGAATTGTTGAAGACCCGGCCCATTCTCACCAAGAGCGTCACCTGTGCTGTAATTTATACCGCCGCCGATTTATCATCGCAGGTTCTCTAATTCTAACTCAATGCTTCTCAGCATTTTGAAGAATATTCCTTTACCCTTTTTGTCCCCAAAGAACTAAAAGTTGCTTTAGGCTTATTGTTTTTTGTTTGTATACTGGAAAAATTCCCAATCTTTACTAAAAACTGTAGCTTTTGATATATTTTAGGTATACTGGAAAAATTCCCAATCTTTACTATTTATGCCTCTTTGTAGAAATTTGATAACATCCAATAGTAAGTGGCAGAGTCAGCTGTATATGTGATGTTATACATCTTTCTAAGTTGCCTTGTTCATCCCCACCCCCCAATTCAGAATTGCAAATGTGAGCATTTTGAAGTATAATGGAAAAAAATCCAATCTTTATTACGATGTGTATTTACATCTAACACTCTAATTTGAAATTTGGGGGGTCTTCACATTTCATGTGATTGTCATATTTTCTGTCATTCCGGTAGTTATTTTATCTTATTCAGAATAATTCAATTTCCCTCTATTCAATTCTAACTACCAAATCAATCCAAAAGAGGCGGTGAGGCCTCCTATATAAAATTATATAACCTGCAATATTTGCACTGCGGAAATAGTGAAAAGGCATATCTTCAGACACTTTCAGGTTTATCATCCTTGGAGCAGTATGACATTCTAAGGACACTACGCATGACTGGTTATGGGATGTTGATTTTAGGACCTTCCCTGCATTTTTGGTTCAACTTTCTTTCAATGGCTTTTCCAAAGCAAGATCTTAGAGCAACCATTACAAAGATGGCATTGGGCCAGACTGTATATGGACCCATTATGACTGTTGTTTTCTTCTCCGTAAATGCTGCTTTGCAAGGTGCGGTTATTTAGTAAAATTTCCCCTTTCCTTAATTTCATTGATATCTGGTATGACAAAGTGCTGAGATTTGAAGTTTTTGCCTGGGGGACAACAGGTGAAAATGGAGATGAAATTCTTGCCCGGCTAAAACGCGATTTTATCCCCACAATGAAAAGTTGTGTCATGTACTGGCCATTGTGTGATTTTATCACATTCAGATTTATCCCTGTCCATCTTCAGGTAAGCAAGATGTCTGCTCTCTCCTGCTACAAAATTACATCTTCTATTCTCGATCATGTATACGGTTTTAAAGTAATGCTTTGTTAAGATAACAGAGAAGTGTGAAAATAAGTTGGATAGAGAGAAAGTTAATAGAAAATGAATAGACAGACTTTTAGCGTGTTTGGACCGGTGGTGAGTTAAGGTGGTCGGATGTACGCAGTCTTACCCTTGTACTAAAGCAAAAAGAGACTGTTTCCAAATGACCCAAAGTGAAAATGCGCTTCAAAATTTCCATGGACTGAGTGCTACTTCATAACAATGAAGCGCAAACAGTTTAGTGAGCCATTTTTCTTTATTTCATCATATTACCAAGTCAAAAAGTAGTGAGTCTTTGGCTCCATTGCAAATGATGGAAAACGATACTCTTATTTGGACACATACCCCTTGCTTTAATCCTATTTACAGTAATTTACTAAGAATTAGTTAGATTATGATTGTAGTTTGATGAAGATGGCTCTGTTCTTTCTAATTTCCACTCATAAATGGAGAGATTTCGTTCATTAGTGGTTCCCATAACAAAAAGTTGTCTTCCCTTGTTTTTATCAAACCAAACTACATTCAAAAGTATAGAATGCCTAGAAACGAAAGCTAACGACTGTTCGTATTTGTGATCGACAGCCGCTCGTGAGCAACTCATTTTCATATGTATGGAATGTGTACTTAACTTACATGGCGAGCAAAGAGAAAGCAACCACAGAATGACTTGACTCTGCAGGGCTTCTGGTTACTCTCCAGCTACCTGTTGGATGGCAAAGCTATTTTGTTCACCAATATTTGGATTTTGGAACAAGAGGGTGTAAGTTTTGTATTTTATTTTCTTTCCCTTTGCACATAACATGTGCTTATTAGGAACGCATACTGGGCATTATTTTGTATCAGTAAATCTTTGATTATCTTTTTTTTGCATTTTTGCAAATTGTGACTCATCAACGTTTTTAGTTTTTATCTCTGCCCTTTAGATGTATTCATGTATTTGACTGCTTTTAGTACTCGAACACAAAAATAAAATGGGGCATTCTATTTATAGCTACAAACTTACTTTTTAAAGCAGCTAGATTAATTGTACTCCAACGAATAAAATTACTAATAATATCTATTTTGCCCTTATGCTAATATAGACATATAGTTAGGGATGGACTCGGGCCGGGCCAACCGGCCCGGAACCGGACCGGCCCGCTACTGTGTGGGCCCGGACCGGCCCGGTGAACCGGTTTGTGCCCGGTTCAGGCCACCCGGCCTGGTGGTATAGCGGTCCCGGCCCGGGCCTCCATTTTAGTGAACCGGCCCGGCCGGGCCGGGCCCGGTTCGGGCCTCCCACGGTCGTTTTTTTTTTTTTTTTAATTTGTAAAGTGGCTTCTAGCCGTTGGGAGCATAGGAGGGGGGGTCTGGGGGGTTAGTGGGGTGGGGGGGTGGGGGTGGGGGTATACAAAAAACCCCTATTTATACTCCTATTTTCTATACATTTTTTACACATCTTCTTCTACAACTCTTCCTACTCTCTAATTCTCTACTCTCAATCTCTCATATTCAATCATCTTCATTCTTCATCTTCTCCAAATTCTTTCTACATATATATAATTTATATAATTATTATATCTACTTATATATTAATTATCTACTTATAAATATATACTTATACACATTCATATTATAATTCTTTACACATTATATATACTATATATACTATACACATTCATATTTACTTCATATTTAGTTATTATCCATACTATTGTTATTTACTTATATTTATATATTACATTTAGTTAATATATACTTATATATATATATATATTAAAGTATTAAGTATAAGTGTATTACTCATCATATAGTAATATACTTATATATTATATACTATAAACATTATATTATATATTACTTATAATATATTTACACATTATATATACTATATATACTTATACACATTCATATTTATTTGATATTTAGTTTGTATCCATACTATTGTTATTTACTTATATTTACATATTACATTTAGTTAATATATACTTATATATATATATATTAAAGTATTAAGTATAAGTGTATTACTCATCTTATAGTAATATACTTATATATTATATACTATAAACATTATATTATATATTACTTATAATATATTTACACATTATATATACTATATATACTTATACACATTCATACATTTTATAAAAGTAGTTAATTGTTAGACTTCTCATTTATCTATTAAATTAGTTAATTGTTACAATTCTCTTTAAAGAAAAAAAAATAGTTAAAGTAGTATATTTTTACATTTGTCATATTAATATTAGTTAAAGTACTTAATTGTTTTATTTGTCATATTAATATTAGTTAATTGATACATTGCTCATTAAAGTAAAAAAACTAGTTAATTTTTACATTTGTCATAATAATATTAGTTAAACTACTTAATTGTTACATTTCTCATATTAATATTAGTTACTTGCTACATTTCTCATTAAAGTAAAAAAGGTAGTAAATTTTTACATTTGTCATAAGGTGATATTAGTTAAAGTATACATTTCTCATTAAGGTAAAAAGAACTAGTAAATTTTTACATTTGTCATTTTATAAACTAGCTAAAGTAGTTAATTGTTAAATTTGGTATATTAATATTAGTTAATTGCTATATTGCTCATTAAAGTAAAAAAAAAAACTAGCTCATTTTTACATTTCTCAAAATGTATTACATTTTTTAAATGCATCCTAATTCTCAATTGTACTTCTTATTTGAAATAAAAATACTTGAATTATTTTATATTATTGTGTACATCAATTCAATAATTCAATTCAATAAAATTAATTTGTAAACTTGTACTTCATATGTAGCACTTCTCAAATTAATTAATTGGTTACAAACTTATAATTTACAACTTGAATTTTTTTTGTAAAATGTAAAGGCTGTTTTTAAATTAAAATATGTAATATTAATATGTAAATTAATTAATTTGTTACAAACTTACAAGTTACAACTTATACACCTATTTTGTAACATTTGTAAATTATAAATCAAATCACTTTTCTAAGTAAAAATTAGTTTTACTTAATTAAAAAATTAAAAACATTTTCCTTACACAATATGTATAATTTTCTAAATCATATCACTTTCCTTACACTTTTCTAAATCAAATAACTTTTCTAAGTAAATTATACACAATATGTATAATTTTCAAAAAAAAAAAAATTAAAACATTTTGAAGTGGGAGATTGCTCCCAAACGGCTATATAGCCGTTGGGGCTTAGGGTGGGGGGCAGGGGGGGTCCCGGGGGTGGTGGGGTGGGGGTGGGGTTCAAAAAAATCTATAAATACATCTATTTTCTACCATTTTCTACACCTCTTCTCCAACTCTTCTCCATCTTCAATTCTTCATCTTCTCGACTTCTCTTATTATCATACATTTCTACTTATACATCTACCATTTTAAAGATGGAAAGTAATTCTTCTGTTATGCAAAACAACTTTGATAAGTGGAAGGACCCGAAGATCGGACTGTGGTGGGCAACTTGCAAGTGGTGCAAGAAAGAGTGTTGCTTGGGGCGTTCACACGGAGTCGGGATGCCAATAAAACATATGAAGTCATGTGACAAAGGTAAAACAACAACCAACGGTGGCGGAAATCCCAATTGATATTTATTCGAAAATGTATTTCATATTGTTATTTTTTCCTCAATTCTCAAATGTACTTCCTATTTCAAATAAATGCACTTGAATTTTGTTTTTAATAACAATTATTATAATAATATAATATATAATTTAAAAAAAATATTAAAAGGACCGGCCCGAACCGGGCTCGGCCCGTGAACCGGGGAGGTGGCCCGGCCCGAACCGGATCCGGGGCTACCCGGGCCGGTTCCGGGCCTCCCAAACCTTGAACCGAGGCCCGGCCGGTTCAAGGCCCGAACCGGGCCCGGCCCGAACCGAGTCCATCCCTACATATAGTTCATGAACTTTGACCAATTTAACCGATGATTGATGCATTAAAGATTCCACAACGCTGAGCTTCGAATCATAATGTTATTAAAACCATAACTGTGAGTATTACGTACTTGGATTTGGTCTTACATGCTTTTGATACCTTCCTTGAGTTGGTTCCAATCTAAGAATTTGGATTTTCATTCACACTTTAATTTGTTGAATGTTACGTTTTCCACATTTCCACTGATAAATGACGTACCGTACTACGATTCATCTATGTCATTATATTGACTTTGTTATTTGTTATATACGGAGTATGTGTTAACTGTCTAATTTAAATATTTAATTGGTTCATGTGAACATGGTACAATATATCTAGGATATGGGGTGCAAATGTGCAATTAGTCGTTCTTTAACTAGGGTACAAATATGGTGGAATTCCGAAAAATACCTTACAAATTTGTCTACAATTAAGAAATTGATGATATATAAAGTTTACATGTATGGTGCACTAATTGTTCAAAATTAGCCAAAAACGTGCTGGATATGATTAAAATGCTGTTTGACAAATAAACTAAAGCTTGATGATATCACGAAAAAGTGCAACACAAACATTTAAGGCATCTTCAATAATATTGGATCATTGTAGCTGAAATGACCAGATTTTGCACACGTGTATTTACAAAATGTAGAGAGTTCATTGGGAGACCCTTGCAATGGAACAACAAAAAACTAAAAAAAATAAAATAACAAAAGAAACTAAAATAAAGTAAGTGGTGTAACAAAAAAAATGTAAGTGGGTGTCCTGACACATAGACCTACACTTTTCATTTGACACATAAGCTCGACTAGACCTACTTTTTTTTGAAAGAATGGTATATATATTACTTCCCAACTTTCATTAGACAAAAATATGACCTTTTTTAAAATTTCCAAAAAACTTACCAATCCGCTTCTCTCTTCTGTGAAACCGCTCCCCTTCTCTCTGCGATCTTTTTGCGTCCATCGTCAATCAGGACCCATTCGTCGGAGCCTCCCAGGCACGTCGATCGAAAGAGCTTCCAACTGTGTCGACCGCCGTCTCCGACGCCTCGCGCCGTCGCCGACATCTCAACTATCTCTCTGCGCTCCAACCATTGATGCTTTGCAGAAGATTGGACGATCGTCGTTTTCCTCTCTTCTTCTCGCGGATCGTCGTTTTGCAGGTGGTGCATCGACGGTGGTGTGGAGTGAGCACTGGCGGTGACACTAGTGTTGGGTGGGCAGTGGCGGTGGTGTGGGGTTGGGGAGTAGAGGACAGTGACAGTGGTATGGGGGTGGTGAATTGGTGGTGGTGCAGGGTCTGGTTGTCTAGGGGTTGGGGAGTTGTCACTAGCGGAGAGGTGGTCGGAGTTGATTGGAGGACAGTGGTCGGAGGCCGGCAGTGGTGGCTAGAGTAACAGGGGTGGCGGTTAAGTGACACAGACGGCTACAGTGACACGAGAGGTGACTACAGTGACACGGGCGGTGACTACAGTGTCACGGGCGATGGCTACTAGGGCTGGGACCGGTTTGGTTCTTACTCAAAATGTGTGGAACCGTTACAAAAATTGTAACTAATGAAATCGGTTCGGTTCCTATATAAAAAATCAAGAACCGTTATGGAACCGAACCGGTAGTAAACGGTTCGGTTCTTCCTTTTACCGGTTCCTACAATAATTTTTTCTCATCTAAGAATTAATACATAATTTACTTTCTACAAACAACATAAACACGTCGAAAATTCAAAACATGAGTATTAAAATTTTATTTGAAGCTCTAATCACTTTAAACATCAAAGCTCAAACTTAACTAATGAACTGTGAACAAAAGATGATTTAAATTTTCATGTAATAAATAAAACATAAAAATCATAGTAGTGTGGAAGCGATGAGGGTTACTCGTCATCATAGTAGCAAGAATAGGACGCCTACTTCAAGTCTTTCAAAACATAAAAAAATACATTGTGTTCGCATTGTAGTGTGGGAGCGATGAAAGTTACTCGTCATCATAGTAGCAAGAATAGAACGCCTACTTCAAGTCTTTCAAAACATTAAAAAATAGTAAAATACATTGAGTTCGCATGTATAGATATTAGGAAAACATTGTTACATTCTATTGATTCATAATAAATCTAATAATTAGAAATATCATGAGAATAGTAAAGTAAAATATGTGTAATCAACTACAAGTTATTTGAGTTATTTTGTATTTATAAAATTTATGTGATGGAACAAAATTTGATTTGTAGAAAGGAGTTTAATGTATTATACACTTTGGGTCATTTGGAAACAGTCTCTTTTTGCTTTAGTACAAGGGTAAAACATTAAATTTTGAAGTAGCACTCAGTCCATGGAATTTTTGAAGCGCTACTTCTTTAAGGTTGATTACATTAAATTTTGTTCCATTAATACATTAATTTGGGTGTCATTCCTTCTTGTCCCATTGTTAGGGGGGCGGAGGGAGTAGTAGTTAAGAGAATAAAATATTCAGTTTAAGTAAGCTAAATGTACGAAATCAAACAACTTGGAGTCTTGGATGCGGGTTCTAGTGGATTATCGTTTTTCGGGTTATTTTTAATTACCTCCCTTGAGGTTTTAACATTTGACACTTTGATGTAAAGTATCCATATATTATCGATAACACCCTCCTCCCTATAATACATGTGTGCTAGGAGGGTCATCCCTACTTAATAACTAACGTTAGTCTCTTATACTTCGTAATTAGTAATAGTAGTGTAGCAAGACTACATAAATTGTGTACCAAATTCATGCGATCTCATTTATATGACACCAATATTACATATAATTTAAAAAAACATTGAACTTTCAATTGTTCGTTTTTTTTTAACTCAAAAATATGAAACTCAAATTCTCAATCCACCGCCACGCAAATAGCTGAATTTACACTATTTCATTTCATTTTTATTAATAAAAAGGTCAAAGAAGAATTTATAAAAGTTTTATTTTTAATTCATTTCATTTTAATTAATTTTTTAATAAATTGATGTAAAAAATACTATCAATGTATTTTACTAACGATGTTGGAATGCAGGGAAATGGTATTGGCGAGGTCAATCTATACACCATTTTTCATATCGACGTGTCCATATTTGAGTATTAAGACATTGCAAGGATGTGAATAGCCTAATATCCAGTCCCGGGTGAGATACTACTATCAATGATAGACCAAACCAAGACGACATGGGCAATCAAGGCAAGGACCGAAAGGGTCTATTTCAGAGGCGGCAGTATCCTTGACACCATCAGATGCAACTTCGCCTTTCAAATTTCAGAGGCGGCAGTATCCTATTATGCCTTCATATGCAATGACAATAAATAAGAGCCAGGGTCAGTCTTTGTCGCGTGTCGGGTTGTTGCTTAAAAAACCTGTGTTTACCCATGGGCAGTTGCAATATCAAGGGTGACCAATCGATCCGGCTTGAAGATTCTAATTGTAGATGATCATGGAAGAACCACAGACAAAACACAAAATGTTGTGTTCAAAGAAGTGTTTAACAGTGTTTAGATTTAATTTGAAGGTATATATTTACAGCATTTGGGTTTAGACGTTGTTGTGTAATCGATTTGGACTTTGAATTATGTTGTGGACTCCCATCGATCACAGTCATTATATTATTAGTTTCGTCAATATATTCCGATGATATGTATTTGCATCATATGCACAGATCTGTTTGTAAGCAGTATTTTAATTTTACTGTTTATTTAGCTTGTTATTTATTTTTCATGATCATATTGTTTATTTTTCTGTTGGTTACTTTTATTGTTGTAAGACTCTTGCATTAGGATTGAGTGATGAGAGGTCTGCTATAACCGTCGTTGGCTCATTTATGTCTACTATAGGATCAACGAGTTATATTGTTTTTTTGGATGTGATTAACTCTAAGTTTGGTTCGAGGGCTGACGGTTGTCTGTGGTCTTTTTGTCGTTTTATCCCCTATCTGAATGTTATGATTTGAATTTAAGCCATTTGTTTTGTTGATAAAAAAAGAATAGAGACACATTAAATTACATAGTAATTTCAATCTGATCAGATCATTCACACATTTATACGTTTTTTAACGACAGGGGAGTACATAGTAAGAGTCGCTTATGCTATAATTAGTTAATGGCTCCAAGGCTCTAAATCACATTTTAATAACATAGTTGAAACTAGACTTTTGATTTAATTCTAAATTAAATTAATAGTTTCTAATTAAGAAAACATTTTAATCAAGTTCTCGAAAATAATAATATATAATGTCCTAATGTACCTCTCTCAATTTTTATTTGATTACGTTTAAAGTTATGTTTTATAATGGTTAAGGACTTGAGATGTATTTTTTCGGAAACAACTAAATTAAGAAGCATGTATACATGATATTCTCCCTACACATCACTAGCCACTAAGTCACGCTTCGAGGCCCGCATCTTCTGCCATACATCAACCCATTACTCTATTATTGTTATCTTATTTATTTTACCAAACTCAAAATTATGTCATCTTCTTGTGCCTGCATCTATTTATATTAAATTCAGACAGAAGGTATCCGAAGTTTGGCAATCCATCGATCTAAAGTAAAGGGGTGTATTACTGTATTGTTATGCTCCTAGCCGCCTTGCCTCCTTTCCTTTATACTACGTATATTTTACTCAAGAATAAAGTTAGATGACTAGTTAGTGGTGTTTGGAACTGATTCTGTTTATGCTTCTTTTTTAAATCAGAAGCAGAATCAGAATCAGTTTTCAGAAGCTGGTCACCCCAGCTTCTAAAAAAACTAATTCTAGGAGTAAATTCGAGTAACAGAACCACTTCTGCACTTTCA